TAAACACAGAAGACAGAGTGGCAGAGCTGCAGTGGCAGAGGGTTAATTTAGGTTTATGAAGTGACAGCCCAGACAGGGGGATAGGCCTTATGCTAAAGTTTTTCTCAGCCAAGAGTCTATCAATAAATAAAACAGGCAGGATAGTAAGAAGCTAGGAAAATTCCTTGGGAAGTGGAATGGGGAAACTGAGACAGATAGCTCATTCAGATTGGCCCCAGCCTTACACGCTGACTCACCTGCCTCCTTCTCCCTTGCTCAATCATTCCCTTAAGCATTAAGTCCTCAGGACCATGAGGTTCTGATCAGCATCAGATAATCTTAGTAACAAAGCTTTGGGTTTGTAAACCACAGAGACAGAATTTTGGTCAAACTAGAGATAACGTCTAGTTCTCAGTTGTGTCTCAGCTCCAGGCCTAGAAAAGCAGCAAAATCAGATGAAGCAATGCCTATGGCTGACATCAGGATTGGATGCAACGACTAATGACCCCTACCCTAGCGCCAATCAATCAGTAGAGACTGTGGCCCTGATCCTATATGTTCATTTTGATGTATCATCATATTAAAGAATATACCTGATAAGCTGGTGAATATCCTATTGAGATCCTCCCCTGAGATCTCCCTAAAATTCCTGCCTTTCTCTCTCTTTCTCTCTTTCTCTCCCTCATCTCTTGAACACCTGTGTCTAAACCTCTCTACTCCCCTGCTCCTTCTTTCAGGTGTGGGTCTTTGCTTTCTTTCTCCTAAGCTCCAAGGGCCCTTCTTTTGCCACTGTAACTTGTTCCCTGAGTCACACAGACCATCTGGATCACTTTTTCTGCCTCTGACTTTCTTTCTAAAAGGCCAAGGCAGCTTTCGGAGCAGCTCACTCTTTTCTTCTCTTCAAGTGTGCTTTTGCTTTGCTTGCTAAATAAACTTCATACACTAGAGTTCTTGGCTCTGAATTCTTTCTTTGTTGAACCCAAGAACCGAGAGCCATGTTCCCAGTAACAAAACCAAAAGAAAAACTAGGAATAAGCTTTATGAAGTCTGGTCTACCTGAGTCAGTATCAGTTTAGCAGGACCCTAAGGCACCTGTTTTCACTCTCACCCTCCATCCCCCAACTTTAGAATTTTAAGGAAACTACAGCATGTTAGAAATTGCCAAAGTTGTATTATAATGCTAAATATGGCCAATAAATTGGGAATAAAGCTTTGTGAAAATTTTGCATGGAAAATAATAAGGATATAGAGCATAGGTTATAAGATTTCTATTTTGTTTTATGTTGAATTTATTCTGAATAATTCTACTCAATAATTCTATTTAATAAATTGTAGTCCTTTTTTATTTTCTATTTTTTTTTAGCATTTTATCACTGTAGTATTGTTTTACCAAAGAATGCTTATGGGCCCAGATAAAGAAGTCATCTAAATGGACATCCTACACAAAGAGGTTACTTAGTGTGTAGAAGGGGAAAACAAAACACTTGCTTAATTATTATTATACTAGAGGCCCAGTGTGTGATATCTCGCGAGACCCAGACCCGCTGTGCTGGCTGGACCCAGACCGACTCCCGCGGCGCTAGGTGGGATGTGGGACCCAGAATCAAGTCCCCACCTACCCGAATGCGCGGTGCCTAGCATGCAGCCCTGCCCACCTGCGGGCGCTTCGCTGCACAAACAGCCTCCTGGTGACCAGTCTTTGGTTGGTCTGCGCTATGGAGTCACGGCCACAGGCCTTTTATTAGTATAGATAAATGAATAATCAGTTATATTCTTTGACCCTGATAGGAAATAAGTTTCAGCTAAAACATTAAAGACTTAGGCTTCTCAAGTAAGAGTTTCCTTGTTAGAATGTTAGAGTGGTTACCTGGGAAAGGAGTTCCTTAGGAACCTGTGAAATGTCCTTGTCTGGAAGTCATTAAAGCTAGCTTGATTTTTGTTGTTGGTTTGGGTAGGTTGGCCTCTCAAGGATCGCCTCTTAGAATTTTATAGTTTTTGCACTTGGAGAGACTATTTGAATATTTTGCCTTTGCTTTCTTTTCTAATTTAAAATAATTATTTAAAACCTTGTGTTTAATACAATGCCATATTCAGGTGTTTCAGATTGCTTTGTACTTTCTGCCTCAGGCTTAATAAACATTACCTGCATTTCTAAAGATATTTTTCAAGTGCATCTGATGTACTTTTGGTAGGGCACTCCAGTCAAATGTGAAATTTGAAAAAAGACCCATATGTTAAGCCCCAGGTTAAAGGCTCTTGAATTCTTGATAAGATATTGATAGCATAACTAGATAAAGCTAGGCATTGATAATACAATTTCAGGTTAGCTGTTTCTTCGAGTCATGTAGGGTTATATGTCTTTCTAAGACTTTAGTGTTCATTGTTTCAAGGGGTGAGAGGTGAAGGTTGGGAGAGGATAGAAAATATTTATTTTACTATTTAAAAAAATATTTTTATTGATTTCAGAGAGGAAAGGAGAATGAGAGAGAGATAGAAACAACAGTGATGAGAGAGAATCATTGATCTGCTGCCTCCTGCACACACTACACTGGGGATCGAGCCCGAAACCCGGACATGTGCCCTGACAGGGAATCAAACTGTGACCTCTTGGTTCATAGGTTGACACTCATCCACCGAGCCACTTTTGACTTTTCTTTTGACTTTTCTTTATCTAGCCTGCTGTTTCTCTTCAGTATTTGATTTCCTTTAAAAATAAACTGAGTATGGCTCATTGGTTGAGTATTGACCTATGAACCAGGAGGTCATGGTTCGATTCCCTGTCAGGGCACATGCCCAGGTTGTGGATTCCATCCCCAAGTGTGGGGTTTGCAGGAGGCAGCTGATCAATGATTCTCTCTCACCACTGATGTTTCTCTCTCTCTCTTTTTCTCCCTTCCTCTCTGAAATCAATAAAAATATATGAAAATAAATAAGCTGAGTTTCAATAATACTTAAGAGAGTTAATAAAAAAGAATGTGAGTACTAAAACCTACAACAAATTAATGACCCTGATCAGAAAAGGTCCTGGCTATTAATAAACTCTGCTTACATATTCCTGTCTCTATGATCATTGTCCTTGATCATCTCTTCCCACATAAATGGAAAACCAGGTGATTTTTCATTGTAATGAACTTTCTCTGAGGTGAAACAGGGAATACATCATCTTTTCTGCCAGTATATGTATGTTAGACTCTGCTAGTTATTAGTTTCTAGACCATTGGTTCAAAAGCCAGATATTAAAAAATGTTTTAAAGTCAAGCTAAAGATCTCTCAGTAAAACTGAATGAAGAATAAGAGGCTTTCAAATCTGAGGCCTGTTCTTAATGTAGCAGGCTGAACAGCTTAACTTGCTATAAATTTACTCCTCCTGAAGCTCAAACACAGCTGGCTTCCTTCTTTATTTTATTTTATTTTTTAATATATTTTATTGATTTTTTACAGAGAGGAAGGGAGAGGGATAGAGAGTTAGAAACATCAATGAGAGAGAAAGATCAATCAGCTGCCTCCTGCACACCCCCTACTGGGGATGTGCCCACAACCAAGGTACATGCCCTTGACCGGAATCAAACCCGGGACCCTTCAGTCCACAGGCCGACGCTCTATCCACTGAGCCAAACCGTTAGGGCTTCCTTCTTTTTTTTTAAATTGGTTTTTGCTTTCAACTAAATGAAAACCTGGTAGTTTCTAAGCTCACATATGAGACTATACCCCTCTCCTATTCAAATATATGTTTGAGGAGAAAGTTCCCTTTTGTCAGGGAAAGCTACCTTCCCTTCCTTTGGGAGACTTTCGTCTGAGAGGCCCCTTATTTTCCTCTGCATTCATTTTTCCTGGGGGATTGTTCAGTGCCATCAGTATAAACTCAGCACAGCAGCTTAGCAGCAGCAAAGGTACTTTTTCAAAATCAACTGCTGAAGGTTCTTCTAGCTGATGACAGAATGACTCCTTCCTTCTGAAGAGGCTGTGGTCTTCTTTTATCTGCCACTTTGGGAAATGCCATAGTATTTACAGAGGAAAATGTAGAGAAGATCACTGATCTGTGGTTCTGCCATCAACTGAGAGACAGACAATAGGCATGTCATTTAATATGCCTGGGGCTTCGATTTCATTATCTAAACAATAAGACAGTTGGATTATATGATTCTAATAATTCATACTGCTTTAAAATTACATGACTATTGTTCTTAAGAGTCTTGAACATAGTTACTCTTGGATATATAATTTGCCCTTGTCTCTCAAGACAGTGCAAACCTAGGATTTGTTTAGTGCTCATGAAATTTCTGTCACCATACTTCGGAGGCCTTTATCTTTGATGTCTACCTAATCTAGGGTTGATTGATTGATCCTACCAGTGATTAAAGGAAATGTGTTTGAGGGAAATCTGGGGAGAGCCAGCTTGCAACAAGGAGAAAAGCCCTAGAAATATTTACAGCTGTTTCAAGATCTGGTTATCTTTCAATGATCTGATTGATGTTTCCCAAGCAACTTGGTCACCACTTGTCACAATTTCTAGTATAACCACTTGATCCAATTAGCCCTAGTCTCAGGGTAACACAGCCAATCCAAATCCTCCTTTTATTTTATACTCCAGGTGCTGTGGAGACAGCATGGACTTTGGAGTTCATAATCTGATTCTGCCTTTTTCTGGTTTTGTGATGCAGGTTAACCTCTCTGTGCTCCAGGGTCATCTATAAAATAGCAATATTTAGTACTTACCTTAAAAATTATTAAGGGATCAAGTATGATGACAGATGAGAAGAGTTTCTCACACACCTCATAATGAGAACATCTGACATTTGAATACCTCTTTACCACTTATGAAACACCTCAGAAAAGTAGTTTGATTTAGGGCATTGTGCTGGATTTGCTGTGCTGGGTAAAATATCATTTAGGGATAGAGAGGCTTGAGCCAGGCTTGCTGGGTAAGGGCCCCAGGCCTTTGGAGTTGGGTCATACCAGATTCAGAGCCTTGGCTATCTTGAGAGTCTCTTGTAGCTAAAACACCCTTTTATGTTTTCCAGGAATCTGAATTTCTGTGTTTGGAATTTGATGAGGCCGAGGTCAACCAAGTTCTGAAGAAGCTCTCAGAGGTAGAAGAAAGTATCAGCACACTGATGCAGCCAGCCTAGCTGAAAATGGACTTGTTGAAGCAAAGGTGTTCATGATCTGTTTTTGTTTTTGTTTTTTAATATTATTCACCCATTAGTATTAAATCCTCAAATTCAAATTTGCCTGCCTCTGCTTGCTGGGACTTATTTTTTCCATTTACTCTTACAGTTGTTCTACTGCAAAGGCTCTTATACTTCAGCATGTAGAGGCACTTGTAACAGCATTTTTTTTAAAAAAAAGGAGGTGTCTAGAACCCTATCCCCAGAGACTTGGATTCAGGTTGGCTGGGGTCAACTTTAGAAACCCATATTATGGTGGTTTGTTCCTGAGTAAGATTTTAGGAATACATACATGATAAATTATACAAGAATTAGAAAACATTTTATACAAACAAATACAAGGCTGACCAAATACTGTGTATCTCGAGCTGAGGCCCAGAGATTTGCTGACCCTTGACAATAAAACAGAGATGCTTCTGGAACTGATTCAGGTATTTGAATTAGTTCTACCCAAATTTGGGGGATCTGATTTGATCTGAGCTACTGAGAAACATGGGATTTTTTAGAACCTAGAAATAAACTGATCTTATCACAAAGGGACTCCTTCACCCTCAAATCAGGACTGTGGGAAGAGGAAAATGTCACTGGAGGTAATGTGAGGTTCTTTACCTCAGAAAATTTTACTTGAGTCATCAACTAAAACCTCTTCAAGAAAATATCTTCAGCCCAGCCGATGTGGCTCAGTGGTTGAGCATTGGCCCATGTACCAAGAGGTCACTGGTTTGATTCCCAGCCAGGACACATGCCCGGGTTGTGGGCTCATTCCCCAGTAGGAGGCAGCCAATCAATGTTCCTCTCTCAGTGATGATGCTTTTATCTCCCTCTCCCTTCTCTCTCTAAAATCAATAAAAACATATTTTAAAAAAAGAAAGAAAATGTCTTTAAAAAAACTAGTGTAAAAACTAGATCCTAGTAGAGAAGTTGTACAAAACACCAAGGTCATCCTAAGAGGAGGAAGCTGTCAACCAGTATATGAAAGCGATGGTCCCTGTTGAATAGGTTTTGTAACCTGATATTGTTAAACTTCAGGAACTCAGTTGCCTTTGGGATATAATGTGTTAAAAAAAGATGTAGGTCTCTTGGTCTATGGTTACATCATATATCAGTTCTAATGAGTTTATTCCAGGGCAGGAATAAGTCCTCTTCTGTTAAGCATTTTCTCCTAAATCAATTTGGAGACGTTTTTTAGGAGTTCTTCCCAACACCCATGCTGAAAATACTGGCTTCCTCCCTGATTAAAACCATCCCAGCAGTTAGCAAACAATAACCAGAAGGTTTTAAATGTATCCCCTGTGGACCCTTCAGAAAACATCTTGAAATAGTAGGGTAATGTGGTTTGGCCAACGAACTATTAAAACTTGCTCTCTGTTCCCAGGGCTACCGTCATGTGATCCAGAAGAATTAGATAATGTCTCCTGCTATAAAATGAAAGTCAACAATATTTCACTAGATAATGAGATTCCAGATGTCTTTGGAAGGAAGGACTGTAGCTACCACATTAGTATTAACTTACATTCCGATGAAAGTTTGTGGAAGCCTAAAGGACCAGTCCACGGACCCACAGGGGGAGCTCTGTGTAGATCTCCTATGAAAGCAGCCCCCACAGTGTGGGCATGGGCTTCTTTACTATGTCCCCCAACCACACCGAGGTCGTTGGGGAAACTGTTCACATACACCAAGTTGTTCACCATCATTATCATAAAAGAAACTGGTTGTTGAGGTTAACACGAAGCATTTTTTAATGCAAGTGGCTTTGGACAGGGTGTGTTTGCCTATGTTTTATACTTACCAGTGATTGCTTTAGTTCTGATTACTGAAGGCGTATATGTTTATTAGTCTACTAGAGGCCCGATGCACGAAATTCATGTAAGGGGCTTGGCCCTCACAGCCCTGGCTTCGTCTGGCTTCATCCAGCTTCATCTGGAAAGTCATTTGGAAGGACTTCTGGAAGGACATCCGGTCTAATTAGCATGTTACCCTTTTAGTATTATAGATTGTGAAAATACAGAACATACTAAGAACAGTTAAATGACTCATCATCCTAATCTAGAGAGAATTAGAAAGAAGGCTAGAACTGGGAGAAGAGCTGATGTTCCCTGAATGAATTCCTGGAAGTGGAGCAGACTGTTTTTAAGACTTTAGTAAATGCTGGCAGATTCTTTACAGAAAGGTTATATCAGTTTATATTCCCTCTAAGAAAGTATGAGAATAAAATACTCCTCTTCTTGCCTGATTGGATATTATCTGTTTTTGTATTTTCTGGGGCTAGTTTTTGTAAATTTTTGCAAGGGACACATACTTAAACCAGGACATCTCTCTGGGGAAAGGACCAGGGAAGGAGAAAACTGGCATAAGGGTCCCAGCAGACCCCACCAAGTTTCCTACCTCTGTAATCCTAGGTTAAAACCACTTTATTTTGAGTTCAGGAAATATGCGGCAAAGTAAAAATAATCCTCAGCCTGAATTAGGCCTTGTAGAAATTGTCCTTGCTTAGCAATAAGCACTCTAACTACTTGTCTGTTCAGAAACAGTCCAGGCAAAAGCCAAGAGTTGCTTTCAGAATAAAGTCAGACAGAAACTCCAGACTTCAGTAGTTTCACGTTGATAAGAAGCGAAGGATTGGCCTGATCCTCAGTGCCGGCTTTCCTTGGGAGCTCTGGTTCTTATCAACTCATCAGTGAAGGCTTAAATTCCACCATTTTATCCTCCCCTTTTCTTTATATAACTCTCTCTTCCCCTGGTCTTATTTCAATGATGATTCAAAAAGAATGACAGCATTTTAAAATGTAGTTTAAGTTATTCTCCCCTAAATGCAAGAAGGATGAAAAGCCCCTAAATGAAAAGCCAAGGATGACATTAGTACCTGGAATCTAAAGACCTGCCATTAGCTATTAGTTACTGAAGTTCTTTTTTTAGACTTGAGTGAAACTTTGGAATACAGAATATAAATAGAAATTAAATGAAAATAAATGTTAAACAGAATGTTAGAAAGTATTTTTTTGGGGGGTGGGGGTGGGGGTAGGGAAGTGCACAATAAATATTTAGACCAATAAAGGGACAAGGATATAGAAGGAAGCCTTCTAGAATCAGCTCAGAAATGAGTGGATGTTTTCCTAAAAGAACAGGATGTTGGAAGGATGGGCCTTTGTGGGACAATGGCTACCTTATGATTCTTAGCTGTCCAACTTTCTAATCAAGGTTTTCAAATGTTTTAGATGGTGAATTATTCAGCAGAAGAGAAAACCCAAATACAACATAATTAGCTTAATTCAAGTTGCAAAGTATATAGTTTTTACCTCAAAAATTGAGAAATAGCAATTTTTATCTAAGTGTAGTGAATTCTCCCTTGTTTGGGATTGGCCATAATTGTCTCTTATAGCATCACAACTCTATGCTGGACTGAGCTAGCCTTTGTTACAAAGGAACCTGCCTATGCCTGCTTCTTGTCAGATAATGGTACCAAGTGACATAAGTTACAAGTTCACTACATGTCCTATCAGAATAAAGTACTAAACCTATACATGAGCAGGTAGCAAAATATGGGTATTTATATCATATACTCACCAAGGACTATAATTAGGCCTTTTGTTTCTTTTCTTTCTTTTTTTTTTTTTTTTTTACCTGTTCTCAGCTAGTTTTGTTTGCTACTGGTGTTGGGTTTAAAGTTTTGTTGATTCACAGGATGCAGGCTGGGAGAAATGAAAAGGGGGATAATAAGGATTTGATAGCATAACTAGAATAAGAGATTAAACTGTTAGTTTAAAAGAAATTTAGACTGAAAGGTAAAAGTAGTTAAAATCTTTAATGCTGTTATTATACTCTTTTTATGTTAAAAATAAAAATAAATTTGGGGACTTCATATGATTCATATTCTGGATATTTTTAGAACTGTGATAAAGATTTGGCACTGATCTCAGAATGATTGATTTTCAGGCTTTGGTAGAAGCTATTTTATTGTCTTGTGAAAATGGAGAAACATCTGGACAGACAGGGCAGAGGACTTGCACTAGGCCATGGTCAGAAAGAGACATCAGGGTACCGTCCTCCAGCTCCATGTTCTACCTGCCAGGCCCCCCGAAAGAATAATGCGTACTTGTAAAAAATGTCTATGTCCTTGCTCATTGTGTTTAGATGATGACAGTTCCTACAGTGATGATTTTGTATGCATATGTGACCTTGGGGGACTTGCAGCCTGCATTCATGTAAACCTGTCTCAGTGCAGAGGTTGCTGATGCTATTAGTAAAGTCTGATGCTGTTCCCGATGGCCTTGGCCTCACTGTCCATCTCTGGGTGCCATGTGCAAGATGACTCTGCTGTCATACAGGGCTTCCTGGCCATCCACAGCTCCCAAGTAGGCAGCAGTTTATCATGATCCTACCTGGACAACCATGACCCAAGCTTGCTAAATATAGCATCACTCTTACCAATTAATTCATTTTAACAATGTTTCTAGTAAAGTCTGTAACAGCTACTTCCTCACTATTATGGTTTTCTCCACATGGTCTACCTACAATGCTATAATACAGAGATAAGAAATTTTTTTTACATTTTAATTATAAAGGTAATACATACTCATTAAAATTATTAATAATTATTTAATTGTTAAATCGGTACAGAACAGTATGGAGCAAAAATGAGTCTCCCTTATCTTCTGCTTAAAAAATAACAACGAACGGTTGCTGTTGACACTTTGGTATGTTTCCTTCCAGACACTTTCTATGCATACAGAAATACGTGTGTGTGTGTGTATGTGTATTTAAACATGTGGATGTGTGTGCATATATATTTATATAGTTATATGTTCAGGTATATCTTCAAAGTATCATGTTAGTGGTTCTTAACTTTTGTATGACACTTTATGTCTTAAAGAATCCAGTAAAAGCTTGGATTCTGTTTCCCCCCAAAACACACACACACGCACACACACACACACACACACACACACACACTCACTGAATTTTTCACTGTGTCAGGAGTTTCTAGAATTCCCAGACAACATTCTGTGACCACCTCTTCCTGCTCCTTATAGAACCAGGGGCAACCTAGGAAATTGCAACACTTT